CCTTAGAATTATTCATATAAACTTTCTTTCATCAAGATGATCAGTCAGAGCATGTTTCTGCCACTGACAGATAAATATTTTCGAGAATGATCAATCTGCAACACACGAACAAATAACGACTGCTATCATGAGCTGAGTACTGAAATTGTAGCATACAAGTGAAACAATCTGATGGATCATGGATAAGATAACACAACCTGAAAACGGTAACCGTGAGAATTTGAGGTGCATTTGCATGAAAGATAATTCCCTGGATAATTCCTTTGAGATGTTACAATAGGGCAGGGTATACATTATACAACCAAAACAGATTCAACGGGATACAAACAATTATCGGCATATGGTAATCATGGCAGCGCAGTTTGAAGATGGATGGAAGGAAGTCTGTAATATATACAGGATCGTAAAACCCCTCGGTCGTTCTAAACCTCCCACCACGGTGATGCGTGTAGCATTTCGTCATGGTGGACAGTGTTGCGCCCAGTTTTCATACTAAAGGTGTTTAGTCGTCTTATTTTCTGCGTCTTGCGTATATATATATATATATATATATATATATATATATATATATAGTATTATATATATAGTATTCATAGTTAATTGCGTTAACTGTTGGGAGATTTCCTTTAATTTCTTTGGGTAGAAGGCAAATTATTGCAAAAGTACACTCTTATAACTTAAACTCTCAAGCTTTCGAAGATCTATGTCTTCATCGCCTGGAGCTAGAAACAATTATCAACAATAGCAACAAATAACAATTAGGAGAAAAATATTTACTTCCTAAGTCGGCGAGCTTGTTACTGAAATTGTTTTTAAACAACAGTGAAGGGAACACATAGTCGACGAATAAAAAAAAACTGGGCTGATGTCAGTTGGATAATGTGGAGGTTATCAGAGAAAAAAAAGATGAAATCTCGAAGGAATTTTCCAAAATCAATCAACGTTTAATATCTCTCTCTCTCTCTCGCTCTCTCGCTCTCTCGCTCTCTCGCTCTCTCGCTCTCTCGCTCTCTCGCTCTCTCGCTCTCTCTCTCTCTCGCTCTCTCGCTCTCTCTCTCTCTCTCTAAAATGTGTTCGTTATGTATTTAGTGATACAATTTGCGTGCAAGAATCGTTCATCATAAAATATTGGGGAAGTAGTTTCACATCTAGAACGAATTGTAAAAGTATGCTCTCGTGACAAAACTTTACAGTCTGTCAGTTCAGCCGAAACCAAGTTTTTGGAATACAGTTTCATTTGAATTGCTGTTAGCTGTTGTTTGTCTACGAATTCTCCAATAAATCATAAGTAATGATGATAATAAAAATGTAAAAATAATCAGTGAAGCACTATTGTGAGGCACATGATGACTTAGGTATTGTGCTTATTCTGTTTGTGCCTGCAGATTATTCAAAACTACGTCATGATACTAAAACTAAAATGATTATGTGCCTACGTTTTTAATGACTTACCGTTATGTTAGGTCTTCTGAATCATAGTGACATAACCTTTGTGAACGCTTTCAATTTTACCTTTATCTAACCTTCACATCCCGTTCTAACAAACTCCAGCAGGGTGTTCAAATTGGCCGCTCCTATTAGCCAGCGGGCCATAAATTGGCAGACCAGCTAAAGAAATCGATGATCGAGTGCTCATGTTTGTTAGGACGCGGGGTAAATGAGATTTCAATATACTATAGAGATACATTGGAGGAATATGTTTTTTTTTTGGAACAGTGAAATTATTCGTTTTTATAAATGATTACATAAATGATATAGCTGTGGTGACTTTGCTACTCTGTTAGAAACCGCGTATAACTGAAAGCTACGCCATTGCTGCTGCCTCGGTAATATAAATAACAGGAAATCTTGATGCCTGATATTATGTGAACATGAAGAGTCTCGCAGACGCTTTGCACTATCATTTACGTTCATAAAAGTGTGGTTATTGAAGGTAGCATGTAAGTAGGTTGGTAATAAACCGATCAATACGACTGGAGTTGTCTTAGAGATTTCCTGGCATCCTGACAAAAATAAATCCGTTTGCTCTTTACAGGCATATATAATTATATTAATTGATATTCCCTGTGATATTATAACCCGTAGCTTAGAGCTTGGGATGAAGATATGGGGAATCGAGAATAATACTACTTGTTTTTATGAAAGAATTACAAAACACGACAGCTCTTTTGCCTGCTCACATAATGCAAACGGAACATATATGAATTAATAAAATGTCAGTGCCGTTTTAAACTAAACTTTTACTGCCGGCACACACAGGCGTTGAGTTGTTGCGCTGATCATGTGAGCTGTTCCATCTACATCAATGTTATGCTAAACGTACTTTATTTAGCAGCCGGACATATTGAACGCCCATGTTGTACTGACAGTTACATGGAAAAGAACTGATGAACCAGTCGAAATCTTGGTAAAAGAATCTATTGAACACCTTTGCACAATGGGGCAGAAAATCCGAAAGGTGGCCATAAATATAGACATCGGCTTTAAATTGCGAAACTTGATGGAAAAATAAGTAAAAAAATCTGATAGGGGGCGTTGAGTAGACTTCTTGATCATTTTGCAATATCCAATATATTTATATCAAATATTATTACATATATCGGGACAAATCATAATTGAATCAAAATATCAAATACTCAAGAATGACTAAACGCAGAATAATTATTCTTAATAATCAAACTAATTATTCTTGAAAATGAAAGTCTATATAGCTGAAATCGACGTCATCTTCACCATCTCCGTCATCTTCCCCGTCGGACCAAGTAAGTTCGCAACTTCGCCAATCTTACTGTAGCCTTGTTGGAGAATTTGGTTCGACTGATTCTATTGAGGTTTTTTTACACCGAAGGAGCTGCGCAGGCAGTAGCCTAAATGCCAGGGCACCACGGCTGCCATGAGGTGCTTAAAGAAACTTTGAACTGCCTAAGGTTAGTTGAACTGGGAAATGCATCCTCATGTAGATTGTTCCACAATCTCGATACCCTACGGACAAAGGAGCGATCGTATCGGCCCGCAGTTCGACACGGTTAGGGTGGGAGGCCGAAGTCAGGCGGGTCTGTCTGGCAGGTACATCTGAGGAGCAAAGCCTATTGGCGTAGCGGTAGAAGAGAGATAGATCGCCGACGGTTCGCCGGTACGAAAGGGTACCGAGACTGTTCCTTAGAGAAGAGCCATCGATCAGTCGGACAGCCCTCCTCTGAACAGCATCAAGCCAGCATAATCCGAGCAGCTGGCCATATAGATGAGATGTGTTCGTGCCACATAAAGTCCTCGCTGATGTGAATTCCGACCAGCCGAAATGAACGGTTCGAAACCGGATGAGCGCTAGGACGCCTCTTGTTCATCTGTGTTTTAGAAGCATTAAACTGTACAAGATTGTTGAGTCCCCAAGCAGTGATAACCTCCAGGCCTCTCGTCAGAAGTCGCTGCTAGTCTTCTTTTGTCCAGCTCCTCCAACAAGGAATTAACTTTCGAACAAGTATGTGATTTTTTTCGGGATGAACATATATAAGGAATATTTTGAATAAATCTCGTTATCTTGTTATTCTTGATATTTTTTGAGTGTTTCTCTCTGATTTTTTTTTCGGGGATAGCAGCGTAAGTCTGCTTCTCGTAGCATATGATAGGAGACAAAGCTTCGTCTGGGGTGAGTGGAATGATTTCTTTTGTATTTCGAATTATTTTTCAAGCGTTCATCATTTTACTGGCCGCATAAGTTATGAGACAAGTTTTGCAGCAGCGTATTTTCCTTCAGTGTTCAGTTTTCTTCTTGTAACCAAAGTAAGCTCCTCTGCTTTAAATGTCGTTGACAGTCGATGCCAATTCTATCGCAGAACGACCACGGTCTTTCTTCCCATGTTAAGTTCCTAGTTGTGACTTAGTATCCTGATCGATTTCTTCTTGAGTGTGTTCAAAAACAAATTGAACATCTAACCATTTTTTATGTCTCTTTAAAAATCCAAGCGTTTTTCTTCCGCATTGATCAAGTCTGCGATACACGGTGCTGCAAAATTTCGTATTTAGGTTTTTCGATCTTAACATGCCTTGTTCATCACCTTCAATTTTGCTGTGTCCCACCAGGTAATTGTGGAAAGATATTTCGTACTATCTGAACGACCTTGTTGTCATTTTCAATCAAAAAAGATAAATTTGCCTTTATAAGTAAATAGACAATAATTTACAAGACAAAATTAAAATTAAGGGCAAAACTGCCATGTCATAACTAAAAGAGTAACTTCGTGTGCTTTTAAATCGAATAAAATATGTCAACAAGAAATAACTTTACCTCATAACTGAAATAATGAAGATGTGCGGTAATGATTTCTAAATACATAATCATAAACATGACTTGAGTATGTAAAATCAAATTTTCTTGAAAACTGACTTAAAGGGCGCCTATCATATTCTAGTATGTTATAAGGAAATATAAAAGCTATGTTTAAAAATGGTTTGAAAGCGAGATAAGCGTGGGAATTTCTGTAGGTCTACACAAACTTAAATTAGAAAATAAAAATTTCAGTAAATTCAACTAAACAGTTATTTTATCCATATGTCTACACAACTATTTTTTGTTAGATGTATGACATGACAATACATACCTTGTGAACGTTTTCTGTATAATCAAACACTGGAGTCAAGTACCTTGTAACACAAACACCGTTTGTAAGTTCGGAATACAATTATTAAGGAAGGCTTGTACAGAGATACCTACATCTGCCGGTTTTTGGAATCAGGCAGATGTAATGACCTTTTAAGCCCTCTAAAATCTGGGAAAACATGCTATGTTGATTTCTCTGAGTACCTGCCTATTCTGATGATTCCAGTTATTTCATAAATTTCTATTCATGGGTCGGTTTTCGGCTTACCTGGCCCATTGTGCTGAGGTTTGATTTATTGGCTGATTAGTAGTAACCTTAAAGCTTACAAGGCTGAACCTTCAATAACTACCACCTCAGGGAACACAATATAATCTTTCCTTTCTATGCTCACCCCCACCACAGCGGCTTCCAAGTTTCTTCTTCAGTCTTAACCTGCGGCTCCGACATGAAGATCAAAACCTCCTGCAAGCTGTGCGAGATCACGTTGGACCAACAGAAGTACGCGGGGTTGAGATGCACTCATTCCCCGTTCTTCCCGCCGCCACTGTTGCACCCGGCCACGTTCGGGATGCACCAAGGGACCACCGCCGGATCGTATGTTCAGTTGCCGCAGATCAGGGATATGATGCTGGCAGCATATTTGCTTAGAGGTGAGGTCATACTTTGAAGTAAGGGATAGTATATGTAGTACTCTAGTTATCAAGCCAATAAAAACGCTAATTTGTTTCACATTATCCTTTATAATTAATTTTTAGGTAATGTTGATACAACAAGTGACTACTACTCAACAAAATACGTACATCTTTAATCAAGAGATTGCAAAGTCAGGGCTCTTGCAAATAAGAAGTGTAATATTAGGTCATGGCGACATATGGGTTCATAAAAAAATTACTGCCTCATACTGATTGATGTACTTAGCTGATAGCGTTTCAAAAAATGCTGACTTTTTTTGATGTTATAATTAGGAATAGATCTACGTTAAGATAATTTCACTTTTCTATTCTCTGGCTAGTATCTTTTTTATAATCAGTACTGCGACTGGTATAAAAAATGCTATAAAGATTTTGTCAATCAACTGAGTTAAGATCAGTAGAACTCACGTCTTTTCTGATTGATTGCCCCACATCTGTGATACTTTAAAGACATTGGAACTATACAACTACACGTGTAACTAGAAATTCGAACTACAATTCATTGAGGGAATTTCGCTATTTATTACTGAAGCATGGGTTTGGTGACATTCAGAAGTGTAACATAAATGACTATTTCGACGATTTTCTAGAAACGTGCTTGTGGTCTTTCGGTACAACACTACTCATAAGAAAATTAAATTCTCCTGTCACTTCAAGAAAAAATAGATCAATTGAATAACCTAGCATGGTTACGTAAAGAGATTCAAGATTCTAATTTGGAAACAAAATTTAAATCTTTAAAAAAAGGGGTTGATAAGAATATTTGCGATGAAAGGATTAGTTACTATCACTATAATAAGCAAATTCTCAAACAAACAGAAAACTAATTGGAATATTGTCAGTTCAATAAAAGGTAAACAAAAAAATGCAGTTGTCACAGAATTAGTCCGCGATAACGTAACTATAACCAACCATATTGATATCGCCAACTTTTTTGGAAAATATGTGTCCACTGTAATTGGCAAGAAAATAGCCAACAATTTTACCGTTTTGTCGGATTCCTGCACTACTGGTGAAACAGCCAAACAATCAATGTTTTTCACCTATGTCACTACTGATGATGTTATATTTATGATAATATGCCAGACATGAAATCTACAGGGCCTGATGAAACTCCAATCTATTTAGTAAAGCAGAACATGGATATCTTTGCCCCAGTATTAGCAGATATCAGTAATTAGTCGGTTGCTGCTGGTAAATTTTCCACAGCTCTTAAACTGGCATCGTTAATTATGATACTTAAAAAAGGTGAAAATTGTGATGTTGAAAACTATAGGCCAATCGCGCTATCAAGTATTTTCTCGAAAATCATTAAAAAAGTGGTTGCAATGAAAATTGAAAATTACTTTCTTAAATCTGCATTATCGAGTATGTTTAGTATGTTTGTGATAAACTTGATTTAGGTAATTACGTAGTGAGTACCTATCCAATTTGACGTGTCTCAGGCCTTTGATTGTGTAAGTTCGTCATTTGTGACCGATAAACTTCATCATGTCGGCATTCGCGGATGTTTGAATCAATGGCTAGTTAGCTTTTTGGAGGATAGCAAAATTTTATGTTACTGTCGCTGATAAAGAATCCGATGAATTCAATATAGATTGGGCACACCTCGAAGTAGCGTCCTTGAACCACTTATTTTCTCGATTTTCATAAATGATTTGCCTGCACACTTGTCCTACGGAAAATTACTTTTGTATCCAGACGACACAAATATCATTTTAGCAAATTAATGATTTGGTTAATGAATTCAGTCAATGGTGCTTCAAAAACAGACCAATAATAAATACATAAAACACCGTTTCAGTTGAATTTGAAAATTCTATGAAACCACAAATTCCGTAAAATTTTAATTTCAGTCTTCAATGCAAGATAGTTGTAACTTCCAAAAAAACTGTTGTTTTTTTTTAGGTGTAAGTTTTAATTGCAATTTAAGATGGACAAAGCAAATTGATTCCGTATGTAAGAAGCTTGGAAAAAGTATGTATCTAATACTTACGGTAGCGAGGATGTTAAACACCTCAGCATGAATGGCTGTCTACTATGCGTGTGTACACTCTGTCATTTCATATGGCATTACTGCGTGAGGCCAGGCTAGTGAAATCTCTAGAGTGTTTGTCTTGCAACAAGAATCATTCGCGTTATACTTAAAATATAGTAGCATGTATATATCTTTATAAACTTTTAACATATATTTTTCAGCACAGAAATGATTACCTTAAGCATACTGACCATGACTACAGCACTCGTAATAAAAATAATATAGTTAGGCATGTGTCATATCATACGTTTCATTCAAAATCTCCCACAACAGCAGGAATATACTTTTTTAACTTATTACCTCCGGAGATCAAAAACGTAAACTCCTTAGGGCTTTTCAAAAGACGTTTGCGGAACAAGCTATCGGACTGCGGTTTTTATGACCTAGGTGAATTTTTCACATTCCACAGTGCTTCTGATACATCTTAATAAATAATTTATTGCCATGTGTGTATCATATTGTTTTTTTATCTTCCTATTGTTATTTGTATTGTACATTTTATCTATATTTTAATTTGTATAATGTCTACAATGTAGATCTAACTGGATCAATAAATGAATCTGAAACTGAATCTAATACCGATCCTAGAGTAATGAATTTAATTGAAATAGGATAAGTCCGACGTCTACATCTAGGAGGCTTAATATACGACAGAAACACTGCAGAACAACTTACAGGAACAACATTCGTTGTTACGTCGGTACAAACGGTCAGATAAGTGAGCATACATTAATTTGTATGAATGATGCTGTCGATCTTTTGAATAATCCCCCTTTAAACAAACCTCTTTGGACGGTGTAGATGTGACAACAACGCCCCAAACTTAGTCGTTCATAAACTAAAAGGCTTAGGGAGGTAGAGGAACTTCTGTACAAATCTTATTCTCAGTAATTTTAACCACCGCGTCCGTCTTGAAAGCTTCTTAGTGATGTAAATTATATGCCAGACTGGATCTGGTCCTTACACAGTGACGAAGTCAGAAAGGGAAAATATTTCTTAGCTCCAAACAAGTGACACATTATTATTAATATTAAAAGTCCCTGCCTCTCTGCAGCAGATACAGCAAATGCCCAGACGTGTGCGTGTCAGAACATGACCATAGTCATGGGAATTGCAACTAGCCAAAATTGATGGTTAAGCTCGCCCATCCATCAAAACCGCATGTGTCTTACAAGATCTAAACTGCAACATATAGTTGCGTCTTCTTCCCCATGATATTGATTTAATATTCTGGGTGTCGGAATGTAAAGTTCTGTCCGATTGATAATGTGAAAAGAGAATGAAAAACCGGTATTATATATTTTACTATCGGAATTCACTGTCCATTCATGAAACCTTTCAGAAAAACCATGCGATATAATATTCTTCACAGAACATTTTTCTTACATCAGATCAGAAACTAGATCGAAAGCTTCGAAAGCCTTCGTAACATATAGAGAAGCGAAGCCACAAGCTAGGAGGTTCCCAGTTGAAAATCATACCGCCTGTTAAGCTGAAGCTCCAGGCTTCCAAGGGAAAAGCTTTATCACCAGAGCGACGGCAATCCATTGTCCGTCATCATTTTAGTCTGTAGTAAAGAGAAACCACAGCGATTTGCGAATATTTTAAATGAAGTTTCAGATATGTTAGACAGAGACACACAGAATTTTATTGTCTAAATTGCTATTATGCATGTGTCCGACAAAGATAGACGAAGTTTTCATGTTGCGTGATCGATCGTTTTTGAAAGATGGATAGTTAGGTTATGTTAAAGCAGATTAGGTTGTTTTCGAATAATACTTTGGTCTTTGGTGTTTCTGTCTTAAGGTATTCTAATCATAACTTAACTCAAAACCATAAAATAAAATGAAAATAAAAATAATCAGTGATAACTTCGCAAAAACATAATATAAATTTGTTGTCCTGGCATCGTGATTGTATCATCAACGTACGTCCATTGATTACTACAGTACAATTTATGGTATGAGGTAATAGTCATCTTTCGTTATTCGATTATAGCGCTGTCATTGCTAATATGTTTGGACTTGGCCACCATTTGATAAAAACTGTCATCTGTGAATGTCACTGTAGTGCTTTAATTAACGATCCGATCATACCCTCAAAAACCCTTGACACATCCGATAAAAGTACTTCCCCATCGAGTGTTTTTGTCATTTGAAAAGGTTCATTTGGAGCAGGAGTGTTGAAAACCTTCCGGAAAAGCTACACTTGATACAAGATGTGTGTAAAGCAAGAGTTGATAGTTAACGAGTGATCATCAGATCAGGGCCGTCTGTGAAATCTTGGGTCGTACTTTGTCATTGGGAAAATGAGACAGCGGTGGGGGTTACTGCGACTTTTCTTTGCCGTAGGCGCGGTCTACCACGAGTCGATCACTGCAAAACAGTGAATGGCAGTCAACCGGTTGAGACTGTATAGATAGGACTCAGTCCGCGGATGGAGGCCCAGGCACCACGGGATCGCGTGGCAACCATTTCTAGCTATGTAGTAGATGTGGTCTGCTTACCATTAAACAAAATAAATATGCTCTGATTTCCGACCGAAGACAGCCAACCATGGATAACTGTTTCGTGCTTTTTGGCTTCTCCTCAGCATGGTCTAGGCTTGGGTCTTTCGGACAATGAACGAAATCATTCAGTCAAGAATTTAAGAATGAACATTCTATATTCCGTATTCTTGCTAGTAAATATCGTACATATTTAGTGATTTTTTCCACAATCTCAAAACAAGGCTACTAGGTGCTTAGTAGGTCTAAATTAAAACGCAACAGCAATGTAACCAACGAACTCGGACCGAAGTCGTGTTCGGGTAGAAGTCGAGTTTCAATCGAGTTGAACAGTGTCTAAGAAGCTCTTTGTTGATGCAATTTTGTATTACTTTATTTATCATAGCAGACTTAAAACCTGATGTCTACACTGGTCTCTGACCTTTTTTTTG